ATGTTAGATGTTAGTGAAACAGATTTCACCAGCTTTCATAGAAAGTGTTTGCCACCTTGATGATTATGGCTGCTTGTATCCTGTTGACTCGGATGTATGCTTTGACTTTTTATCTTCGAAAGGATTGACTGTATGGGTTTTGCAGAGCACAGACTTTTCCTTTGATAAATATCTTCCCAAATGCCAACTGAGCTATGTTCCTAGCCCTCAAAGGCATCTCTGCCTGTGTCCCTTTATTTCTTCCTTCTTCTTTCTTATTCTTCCTTCTATTCCTACCTGCCTTTCAGTTTTATCTGTTCCTGAGACCTATCTGAATTCAGTCTCTTCTAGGAAACCTTTGCTTGACTTTGGCCTTAGTCCATTTGGTGTTTAATCATTTTCTATACATTCTACTTTATACAGTTAGAGGTCACTCCCAAACTCGGAGAGGCTGAGGCAAGAGGAGCAAAAGTTTAAGCCCAGCCTGGGTAATTTGACAATTTAGCAAGACCCTGTCTTAAAAAGAATATGAAAAGGTCTAGGGATATAGCTCAATGAAGAGGCCCTGGGGCTGGGGATTTAACTCAGTGGCTCTGTTGCATGCCTTGCAAGCACAAGGTCCTGAGTTCCATCCCCAGTACAAAAAAAAAAAAAAAAAAAAAAAAAGCCCTGCATTGAATCCCCAGTGGTGCAGGGAGGAGGGGTGTTAGGGATTGTTGTCTATGCCTATGTATTTATGAATTCCCCAAGGGCAGTGATTGTGTCTCTTGCTGTTGTTATCACATGTACATAGCTTCCATGCACTCACCAGCTGAATGTCCAGTTGAACCCGTTTGGACTTAGTCTCAGTCAAGTTGTTGGCTCCAGTGGCCAAAATAAAATTCACTTGGCAAGGTCCTGAGTTCGATCCCCGGTACCAAAAAAAATTTTTTTTTTCTAGTTTAAAAATCCACTTAAGAAGATTCTGAGTACACTCAGGAAGATTCTTTTTACCCCCCCTTAAGCTAAAAGAATCCTTTTCCACTTGATAACTGAAAAGGAATTTTGCTAATAATTTTTTCTCTTTGTCTTTGACAGGCTGTACATTAAATGGCCAAGAGGTAAAATTTACTGTCCATTATGAAAATGGGTTCACTGTCTCCAGGGAGAATGGAAGCTCCAGCACTGTGTTGTTCCACTACCCTTTTGAAAGGCTGAAGATGTCTGCTGATGACGGCATCAGAAATCTCTATCTGGATTTTGGTGGTCCTGAGGGAGAACTGGTAAAAGTAACCCTGAAAACCATGCTTGTACTAATAGTTATTCTCTTTCTTTCTCATTGCTTCTTACTGCTTAGGAAATTATGGCCTGTTATTCCATTTGGAGCCAGGAAATTATTCTTCAGTTTTCAAGATAGCATTGGATTAAGATGTTTGTTGCAGTTTTCTCTCTTTTTTTTTTTTAATGGTAGAAAAAAATAAAGTGTGCGTGTACGCACGCGCTTGTGTGTGTGTGTGTGTGTGTGTGTGTGTGTGTGTTACTGAGGATTTCAGGGCTTCATGCGTGCTAGGCAAGAACTCTATCACTGAACTACATCCCCAGCCCAAAAACAATTTAAGAAAGCTTTTTGTTTTTAATTAAAAATAAGATTGGAGCCGGGTGTGGTGGCGCACGCCTATAGTCCCAGCACTTGGGAGGCTGAGGTAGGAGAATTGCTGTGAGTTCGAGACCAGCCTGGACTACACAGTGAGTTCCAGGTCAGTCTTAACTACATAGTGAGACCCTGTCTCAAACAAACAAATAAACAAACAAAAAAACACACAAAATTTAAGTTCGAGACGCCTGGACTACACAGTGAGTTCCAGGTCAGTCTTAACTACATAGTGAGACCCTGTCTCAAACAAACAAATAAACAAACAAAAAAACACACAAAATTTTGCTCTCTCTCTCTGCTCTTTCTCTCTGCTCTATCTCTCTCCTCCCACCCCTTGAATAAAATCTCCAGTCGAAAAAAAAAAAAAAATAATAAGATTGGGATGTAGTTCAGAAGTGCTGCACCTGACTAGCAAGCACAAGATCCTGAGTTCAATTCCCAGTACCAAAATAACGATGATGATGATGATAGTTAAAAATAAGATATACGAGGAACAAGAGAGGAGGGAGAAAAGAAGGGACAAAAAAAAAAATAAGCTGGGTATGGTATGGTGCAAAAAAAAAAAAAAATAATAAGATTGGGATGTAGTTCAGAAGTGCTGCACCTGACTAGCAAGCACAAGATCCTGAGTTCAATTCCCAGTACCAAAATAACGATGATGATGATGATAGTTAAAAATAAGATATACGAGGAACAAGAGAGGAGGGAGAAAAGAAGGGACAAAAAAAAAAATAAGCTGGGTATGGTATGGTGCATGCCTGTAATCCCAACACTTGGGAGGCTAAAGCAGGAGAGTCACCAAGCGTTCAGGGGCAGCTTGGGCTACATAGTGAGTTCCAGGTCAGTCTCAACTACATAGTGAGACCCTGTCTCAAAAAAACAAAACAAAACAAAAGTAAAAAGTAGAAACAGGCCGAGTATGGTGGTACATGCCTGTAATCCCAGCACACTGGAGGCTGAGGCAGGAGGATCCCTGTGAGTTCGAGACCAGCCTGGGCTACATAAGTGAGTTCCAGGTCAGTCTCAATAACATAGTGAGAACTTGTCTCAAAAAAACCAAACAAAAAAAAAAGTAGAGACAAAGCTTTTGTACATAGGGAAGGGAGGGGGCTTGAGAGCAAGAAAGAGATAAAATAAAATTTAATTTAAAAATAAGATATGAAGTACTAAAGCAAGTAAATTCTAATCATTGCTATTAGCAGCAGTTTGTAGGGATAAAAGTTAAGTAATAGAACATTTTGGTTGAATAGAAACTACTGATTAGGGCAAAAGAAACATATCCACAAGGCTATTATCTTTCTCTTTTTGCAGCACTGAACTACTATATGCAAAATACTGTTTTGTATTTTATTTTGAAACAGCATCTTTCTAAGTTACCCAGTCTGAGCTTGAATTTGGGACCCTCCTGCCTCAGTTTCCCAGAGTGTTAGAATTACAGATGTGTACCACCATACCTTTTGTTTTTTGAAATAAGATCTCACTACATAGTATAGGCTGGCCTCAAACTCAAAGTCCTCCTTCAGCCTTCCCAGTGCTGCTGAGATACAGGCATGTGCCCCCCTACCAGGCTTTACATCATCTTTTTACTTTTTTTCACACAGGACATTATGCTTCCCAGGCAGGCAAAGCACCACTGAGCTATATGCCTGGCCCTTGACTTCTTTATTTTTAAAGGACATCCCAACAGGAAGTCATGATTCTGTCTATTTGTTTGTTCGTTCGTTCCTTCCAGGGCCTCATCAAACTGAGCTACATCCCCACCCCTTTTTTGAGACAGGATCTGACTAAATTGCCCAGCCTCACCTTTGTGATCCTCCTGACTCAGCTTCCCAGGTAGCTGGGACCATAGGTGTGTGCCACCATGCTCAGCCATTATTCCTCTTAGAGGGTCTAGAGATATGTCAGGTATACTTCAAAAATTATAAATTCTGACCAGGCATAGTGGCACTCACCTATAATCCCAGCACTTGTAAGACTGCGAGACTGAGGCCAGCCTGGACTACATAGTGAGTTCAAGGCCAGTTTGAACTACATAGCAAGACCTTGTCTCAAAAACAAAAAAAAATGTATAAATTCTTATAAAGGAATAAGGTCCTTTTTCTCTCATCAGTATTGAGCCACTAGTTGAAGTCTTATCATATATGAAATCTTTTGTTGACTGACACAATCACAATAGGTATGAATTTGATTCCTATAATTTGTTTGTTTGGGTTGTTTGTTTGTTTGTTTTTGGCTTTTTGAGACAGGGTCTCACTATGTAGTTGAGGCTGACCTGGAACTCCTGTAGCCCAGGCTGGTCCTGAACTCACAGCGATCCTCCTGCCTCAGCCTCCCAAGTGCTGGGATTACAGGCATGCGCCACCACGCCCAGCCGATTCCTATAATTTAAGAACTGAGAAATCTCAGAGATAATTTAGTTCAATCTCCAAATGAAAGAGTATGACTGAAAAAATTTAGACAGGGTTTTGTGCTATAATTCGTGCTGGTGTCAAACTCCCAGCTATCCTCCTGACTTAGCCTCCTGATTATGACCCCATGCTGGGGTTGAAATTTTTATTTTAAATGATGAACTGAGCCAGCATGTCCTAGTGCTTGGGAGGCTGAGGCAGGAGCATCACCAAAAGTTTGAGTCCAGCCTGGGCTACATAGCAAGTTCAAAGACAGCCTAAATTACAGAGCAAGACCCTATCTCAAAAACTGAAGAAAAAAAATTTCAGTCACAGTTTTTCATTTGGAAATTGGAGGTCTTTGTTTAATAAAGGCAAAATTGGCCTCCTGACTATCCTCAAGAGTCATCCTTCCAACCACCAACCTACTAAGGGATATCAGAAATCACATCCACCATGATCATGCCTCAGGTAAGCTCATTGTGATTCCTCCTAGGAAACAGAATTACAGTTAATGGTCTCCGTGTTAGACATTCCTCTTTTTTTGGTACTAGGAATTGAACTCAGGGCTTTGCACTTGCAAGGCAGACACAGTACCAATGAGCTAAATCCCTGGCTTTTTTTTTTTTTTTTTTTTTTGGACAGAATTGCACTATATAGTCCAAACTGGCTTCAAACTTCCTGTGTAATCCAGTCTGGCCTCAAATTTACATTAATCCTCCTGCCTCAGCCTCCTGAGTGCTGGGACTATAGATGTGCACTTTTGTTTGTTGCTATCTGTTCCCAAAAGGTTCTGTATCTCTAGCTTTCTGTTGTTGTAGTTCTGGGGATTAAACCCAGAACCTTACACATGCTAAACATTCACTCTAGGGGCTGGGGATTTAGCTCAGTGGTGCTGCATCTGCCTCAAAGTGCAAGGTCCTGATTTTGACCCCTGATACCAGGAAAAAATAAATAAATAAACATACATTCTATCTGTGAGCTATACCCCTAATCCCTCCAGGGTTTTTTTTTTTTTTTTCAAAGTAGAGCTCCTTATCTAAATTTATTTTGCATCTTTGTGTATTAAAGTCTGTGTATACAGTAGTGATAATGAATGTCTTTTCTTCACAGACCATGGACCTGCATTCTTGTCCAAAGCCAATTGTGTTTGTGTTGCACACATTCTTGTCAGCAAAAGTCACTCGCATGGGACTGCTTGTCTAAGCAGCAAAAGTCAGAAAAGAGCCTTGACTGTCACCAAAAGTTTCACCTCAAAAAAAAAAAGGAAAAAAAAAAAAGCACAAAAGAAAGCTCTTTGCTCTCTTTTCTCCAGTACAGTGCCTTCCCAAGGACCTGCAAATCACTGCTGAACCATAACTGGGTTTAAAGAAGAGGCTGCTTTGGCCAGAAACTCTAGGACTTTATTAAGCTCCGAAATGAAGCTATTGATTTATTGTTTCATTTCATACTGTGGTAAATAAGTAATCAGGTTTATTCCCCTGATAAAAATGGTGGCTTTTTGTTTTTGTTTGTTTGCGTTGGGGCTTTCTTTGGACATAGTCAAATAGCCAGCCAAGAGGTGTTTCCCTTCTCTTATTCCATTGGACTTGTTTCAGGGTTGGCCTTGACTTTGGACTTCCGGTAGCTTTCCCTTCCCAGATGGTAGTGTGCAGCAGTCTGTTGCTTCTTGGTCATTCCACATACACCGATGCTTCATTAACAATCACCGTCTTCACTTCCATCTGTCCTGGCTTTCGCCCAACCCAACCTCCCCATCACCACTTTGTCCATCACCAGCTTTACCGAGCATAAATGCTAACTTTGGGGTTGAGAAACTGCAAAATTTGATTTGCCTTGCTACTCCCTTTCTGGTGGTGACCAAGTTGAAATGCAATTTGGAAACCGCTGTGTTGGAAGGAAAGTTTTACTTGTTTTAAATTTTTCTGATTTTATCTTTGGTAGAAGCCAGGGTATAAGATTCATTTTAAAAGAAAATCCTCATTTTAAGCTAAGCCATCCTTTATTGCTTACCAAATGTGCCTTTGGTTAGGATTAATGGAGCTGAATTAGTCACTATTTGAATAACTGGATATCACTACCATTCCAGGGATATCATCTATCCTAGTTTCAAGAAACAGTCTTTGAGGTGGGTTTCCTTAATGGCATCTTTTCAGTGGGCAGATCCCTTTGAGGAAGATAAACCTCAAGAGCCAGCCTGTTAGAGAGTAGACTTTTTGAGGGAAGCACAACATCTTATCAAGTTTTTTGGGGCTATATGAGTCCACACAGGAGCCTGGCCCTAGCCTTCCTCTGTTTTTTAGCAGCAGAGTAGAATATACAAACAGCTGCCAGCTCAGGACTCCATTTTGGCTTCCTAAGGAATCCTGCAGTGGGCAAGGTGTTGAGATCATGGCACAGCTACCTTTGTTTTGTTAACCCTCACCAGGTGTCAGCATCAGGACACAGCAGCAGTAAGAATGCTGATTTTGTGATCTTAGAGATACATACTCAACTTATTTTTTCTAATTTTAAAGGAGATATGTATCTATGAAAACATTTAAAAGAGTATACTATCTATATAAAGTGTCAAACTTAGCATGGTTTCTGGATCTGAAAGAAAAGGAAATATTGACTTTGATGTTCTGTATGCAGTCTAAATAGTGGTGCAGATTCTTGTTTTCTACCCCTATCAGGAGTTCCATGGGAAGATGTGAGCACAACAGAGGGTAGAGGAAAGTAGCACTCCAAATAGGTAGGGGAAACATGATTGCACATACAAGACCTGAGGTGTTTGGTTTGAGGGCAGCCAACTGATACGTGGAGTCTGAAGGAGCAGGTGCCCAAGCAGGCAGTGTAACTCTAGGGTTCTCCCTCTGCCCGTAAGTGAGGCCTTCCCCCTGTGAAGTGAGATTAACAGTATGCAGAGGGTGGGGAGAGATGTCTGTCCTTCCTCCAGCTTCACGTAAGAGTTGAAACTCCAAACGCGAGTGAACTGATCCACTTAAAACTGAAAATTAAAATCTAGACAAGAATATCTTTCAAGATCTAGCCGAGCGCAGTGTAAGCCCAGCTACTAGGGAGCCTGAGGTGGGAGGACGTCCAGTTTGAGGCCAGCCTGGGCAACTTAGTGAGACCCCATCTCAGAAAAAAAAATCTGAAAATTCATAAACCTAACAATGGCTCCACCTGAGTTATGCTTGCGGTTCAAGGAGAAAAAGTGTTCTAAAGATTAGCTCTTATTTCTGGAGGCAAAATTTCAACAAATAATAACTTCAGATAAGAGAATTTGGACATTTGTTATTAAGATGAGCTGAATGATGCATTCATGGGCTTCAGCAGCAAGACATTTCATTGACATTTTCTGTGTTAATGTGAAAGGCAGAGCCACTAAGATCTGCAGGGGAATTTCAAGGCCACCCTGCTTGTTAGTATTATGATGAAGGTCTGTAAAATAGACGATTAAAATACGGGCAGGAGAGGTAAGGCTTGTGTACATTTCATTCAGTTCATTTTGTTCAAGCTTAAATTGTCTCGTGGCACTAAGGCCCATGGGTTTATAATAATATCTTTTGAGTTTGACATGAAATAAAATCATACAGGAGAGTTTTGTCCACTAGCAGTTCAAGACCAAGAACCCTAAGCTGCTTCTTTTACAAACTAAAAGCTTTCCAGTCATGGGTAGTCAAGATTGTTCTTCAATCAAACCTGTTTAAAGGATTTTCAAACCAAATTAAATGCTTTTTATGAATGGGACAACTTGATATATATCTATTTTGTATTTAGATGCCAAAAATGGCTAGTTATTTTCAAGTAATGAGTAAAATGGGCATTTTGATGTTTTTATAAAACCAGCTAAATGATCATTTCCTTTTCACTTTTAATTAGAAAAATGGTTGAGGATGGGTGGGTTCCCCTGTCCAGAATGGAAACTGCAGTGAAACCCTTCATCCCTCCCCAAGTCTGATGGACCACTTCCTATGCTCTGAGGCCAAGGCCTAGGCATCTCCTCCATATTCCACACAGACGTCTAAAGCCAGTCAGTTTGTATACGGAGAATCTTCCTCCTCTTTCCCTAAAACTTCCCTTTCTCCTCATAGAAAGAAAAGGAAGGGAATAAAAGAAATGATTCCATTTTTCTCTTTTTGAAGAGGGTCAGTCCTTACCTGAAGTCATTAAACAAAACTTACCTGCAAATATGTCTAGTATTTTATATGAAGAAATACTTAAATGTTTATACAGTATTTATTAGATAGTCGTTACTGTAAACCTACCTACCTAGTAGACAAGAATTCCAGGTAAAATATTGGGAGACTTACAGGCAATCAAAAATATAATTTTAAATACCATTCTTCTGTTTTAAAGCCCTGTTTTAGCACTTTTTACATTGGAGAAAGTCTTATGGTACATGTTTTCTAGTCATCTGAATTTTCACAAACTTTGTTACTGAAAATTTTTGTATGGCAGGAAAGATGGAATTATTTATAAGCTGAAAAATCTACCCAACAAATGTCATGTGTAACAGGTGGCTAATAATGTTACTGATTGATTATTTGTCTTCCTAATTTATCCTTTTAAGCAGAAGAGCAAAAAAGCCTTTTTTCAGGTGATTAAGTGTGTTTAGGTAAGAAACAAAAATTTATACTTAAAAAAAAAATTAAACTGTGAACTGTGTGGAATCTGGACAAGATTATGTTTCTCCCCCAAAAAAGGTTTAGTGGTAAGTGGTTTTGTAGACAAAAGTTATATAGAAAAAGTTATGATGCTTTTTTTTTAATTTTGTGAAAACTAAAGGACTTCTACTTTAATTTATATGCATGTGAATATATTTGTTTTTAAAACCATGGAAGAATCTGTCCATGTTTTTAATGCAAATTGCCTTCTAAGCTGCTATGCAAATTTATTAAAAAGCCCTACCTTGCTTAAAACAGTTAAACATTTTTTAAAACTTTCAGGGAAGACCTGTAGACTCGTGCACTTTCTCTGCTTTTTTGTATCTTAGCTTGGACACTTGCATTGATTTATGTTCATTATTTTCACTGGTTATAAGCTATTGATTGTACATAATACCTAAACTATCCAAATATCCAGCATACGTTTCCATGTGGCTGCCATCAGTTGTGGGTGCCATGAATGAAATGGCTGGTCAGAAAGCCAAAGGTCTTTTTTCAATCTCTAATTCATATGTAAAATGCCAGGTCTCTTTGGTCTCAGAGCAAATTGCTCTAGTCAGATCATAATATCTATGTAATGAAAAGAGGCTTATTTAAGTTTGGGATTCTGCAGTTAGAAATATTCTCTATCATATATATCTCTATCAGGTATAATATATGTGCCAGGTGGTATTATATTAAGTTTGAGATCTTTCATTTATTGTGGCTTTTCTTTTTCCAGCTGAAGATAAAAGGAGAAAATCTACCCTTCCCCACTCTGTATTTTCTTTCTTTTTTTCTTTTTATCTCTCGGTACCAGGGATCTAACTCAGGACCATACACTTGCCAGGCAGGCGTGGTGCCACTGAGCTAAATCCCTGTCCCCAACTCTGTATTTTTAAATTGCTTAGTAATCTAGAATTATTTTGTGTTTCCCCAAAAACCCAACAGCAGCAGTCAGCCCTACCCCCATTTTAATCTATATCTTTCACTGTACAACACATGTGTAATAATAGTTTTTAAATCATTATTCTGTATGTCAAGATTATGTATTTTAAGCAATATAGCTATTTGTGGGCTATAATGGTGTTAAATAGAATTTACTATATTCTAGTAATAGACTGGTTAAGTGGCTGACCTGAAACCGTTTCTCTTAAAAAAGACCAAAATACTAAATACATGGTGGTGATAGATGAGTGATACAGGTTTGTTCTATTAAAAGATGGAATTTCAAGTTAAGGATAAGGAACAATAAATAGGCACATAGAAAACATCTGTTTTCTTGTCTCTTTTTGACGCTGGCCAAGCTGCCAACTAGAAGGATGTTGTTACACATTAACTTGAAAGAATATTTTAAGAGGTGTTTTGTTTGTTTTGGTGCTGGGGATTGAACTCAGTGCCTCCTACATGCTAAGTGTGCTTTACCACTGAGCTATACCCCAGCTCTTTGTTTACTTCAAAACATAAACTTGAGCTTTCCACTGAGTGACTGAACCAAAGCATGTGTTAGTTTGAAGTAAATTCATTTTTAATGTAATGTACAAATGTCTTTTGTAAATTATCGCCGCTCTCCTGTGACCATTTGATTCTATTTAACAAAAATCTATATAAACTGTAATCTTTGAATTTGCCCATTTAAAATAGACTGGTTAAAACTAAAAACCTATAGGGCCGGGAATGTAGCTCAGCAGTGCAGCGCCTCCCTGGCAAGCACAAGGC